CACTGCCTGTATCTCTGCAGGCATCAGACTGAGAGGAAAAATATTCATATCGGGGGAAATGGGGGTAGGGTTATGAGAGTAGAAAAGTGAAGAGTGGACTGCTTCAGTAAAACTGCTAACCTTGAATTATGCAATCGGAAAAACAGCTCTTGCCAAAATACAATTCTAACGGAGTTCAGAATACTGTCAGTGTTTGCCAAATACCCCAGCCAAAAGGATGTCTCAAAGAGGGGGAGGAGGGATCCGTTGCCATATGCCCAGCATTCGCAGTATTCTGCAAGAACTGTGGAGTCCTTCAGGAGCGGAGGCGTGCGCATGGTCTCAGGTGCACTCTGAGCATTGGTACCACCATCCAGCACAAGACAGGAGCAGCGAGGGCAGAGGAGAGTAGGCAAATATATCGGAAGGTCTTGATTTCTCAAACCTTCCAAGGTTTTACTTCACGTTTGTCTAGTAGTGGGAGGAGTTCTGGCAAACATTATCAGGCTGTTCTACATATGTTTTGACTCTTCTTGTTTTATGTTTCTTCTATGAAAGAGACTGCAACCAAGTTCTTGTCATTTTTAGATCAATGTTTTGTTAAACTATGACAGCTATCCATGACAGAGAGCCAAGGAACTTTTGCAGCTGACCACAAAACTGAGTCTGACTTGTGGTGCTTAGTCATTTTTTATATATTTTTTTCTACGTGACACATTCCATGTGTGTATGTGTTTTTCATTGTTCTTTTAAATATAATTAGACCGTTCCTAGGAGCTGTGGTACAAATCAGTCTTCTCCAGTGGATTACTTTCTTTGATTAATAAAGTTTTAGAAACTTCTCATCACATTGTGGCTATTGATGGGGCTTTTCTGGTTATATTTGAACAATTGGGCTGTTGTGGGACTGATTGCTCTCTACAGCATTATCTTCTCTGGTTTGCCCATTACAATTTTAAATGATCCAGACAACAGAGCTCTCGCTGCCCCTACGGAAAGTCTCTGCTACAATCCAATAGAAATGACCATTAGGATAGTTTTTCCCAGCCTCTGCCCAAGTTCTTCATAAAGGAAAAAGATGTTTCTAAGATGTATTTCAGCCCTCTGGGGCCTAATCCAAAATTCAGAAGAAAAAGAATCACTTTGTCTTTAGCAAGAGATCCCTATGTTTCTTCTCCTGCAAGAGCAGAAGCGCTCCTTACCGTTTGTTTTCGCTGGTTTGTGCTGTCTGATTTTTAGCAGGTCTCACAAGCAATTCTTTACACCACTTCCCTAGGTTTGGACCAACCTTGCCTGTTTGTCCCAGCAGTATTGGTTCTAGGCCACAGCTGATGCCACTCGTGCACTGCTTGGAGGATAGATAGCGTTTTATACCTTTGGGGTGTGGGGCAGATCTGAAAGGAAGGGATTATCACCCTGGTTGTTTTCCTGTAGCTTTAAAAACCTGAAAGTCTGTACAATTTCATCAGCTGAACTCTCTTCCCCATTTCTTTCTCTGCCCAGCAAGGCAATTGGATGTAGAGCATGATATAATGATAAAATAAGTTCAAGGCATGGTCCAGTGTAGTGTGCAGGAATGTACCACTGCCTCTGGAGTTGTAGTGCTGTATCACAACTACTTTACTGAAGTGTGCTGCTGAGCCCAACACGCAGGTACTCCACCTGGGTTCACTGGATGGGACCACGGCTTGCTGCTGTTTACACAGTTAATCCAACAAAGCAGAGTTGTGGCAGTTCTAAGAATGTGTAATTTGCTGTTGAATTGAAATAATGATGATAAATAGATCCTCCTTTTGTATAAACTTGAAACCATTGTGGATCTCTTGTCTGAAGTTCTTAAATAGGTTCTGTGAGAGGAGGCTGGGCTAGCAATGGCAGCAGGTTGCCAGTTTATCTGGGGTAAGGGAAGAAAGGATTTTTTTTTTCACTTTGTTTCTTTGGAGTTTCCATAAATGCTTTCTCCATGAACTGAAATACTCTGTAGGAAAGGTAAAGAGATGCATCCATCAAACGAAAACCACTAAGTCATCAACTGTATGCTCTCAAGCAAAACAACACGGGAATGCTGCTTAGCACCTTTCAAATATTTTGTAACTGTAAAAGCATTTCCGTACGTCAGGATTGGGGAAAATCAGCTGCCATGTGTTTAATGGGAAGAGCATAGGACAGGAAATCGGAATGCGACTTACATATAGTCAGGCTTCTGCATCCTGCCAGAGTGTTGCTGGTCTCTTTCTGCTCTCCTAATGCTGTTGCAGAGGCTTAGGAAAGAGCAGGCTTAGACTTACTCTTGCCTGAGTACTTTCTAAACTTAAACATTTCTAAACGTTAACACAGAAAAGTACAGCTGGCTGTTTTGACATCCTCTATTTCCAGAGCAACATTGTGCAGAAGTTCTTTTTAACTGCTACCTTATCGTTGCTGATTGAATTATACTGTCATACTCTGTGTTTCAGTAGCAGGGAGTGAATTGTCACCGTGTCACAAGCGTGGTCTTCCCACTCACCCACGTTTCGGCTGGTTGCAGAGCCACCTCCAAGCGGTGGGGCTGAGCGGTGCAGCCCGGGAGCTCAGCACTCAGCTGGCATTCCTTGGCGGCCCCTCTTCAGTCGTGCCCACGCTCTCTCACTTCATCCACTGTGGCTGGACCTCAAAATGCAAAACTTTGCCCAAGATGGATAACGGCGGAGCATCTGTAGGCTTGTTAAGTCAAACTCTGATAAATGAGCCGTACCCAGTGTGTACCTTGCCGGCAGCATGCCGGAGTATTCGCTGACCTTAAGACTCAATCAGATCATGTCGGCAGAGTGTGGTTCTGAATGTAACTGCCTCTGACTTCAACAGCTGCGTTTACTGCATAAAGAAAAAGCTGTTAAGCCTGTGCCCTTTGCGCTCTCAGCTCTGTTTCTCTAAGAGGTTTATACATGATTCAAGAAAAGTCTGCAACAGAATAACTCCCTTCCCCCATGATATACCCAACAAGAGGAGATGTTCTTTTATATTTTAGGTTGGTGGCAGAATTTTTAGGTGATTTCTGACATAAAAATTTTTGAACTCTTATCATTGGGAAGTTGACGGTAAATGATTTTTTTTTTTTCTGAGGAAAAACTGTTGACTTTCATTATATATCTGAGATCCATTTGGAAGAAATACAAAGTCAACTTATTCCTGACTTTCAGTCTGCTGACAGGCTGCTTTGGAAATGAGAGCCGAGTTAAAACCAGTAGATCAAAGAGTTTGGTAAAGCTAAATGCCTGAGTAGTTCAGGTGCTTATTCGAAGCTTCTCCAAGCTCTCTGGATCTGCTGTGCCTGGAAGCGTTACAGAAACCCTTTTGCTTGTGATAGGCTGACTCTGCTTGCATGAGCTATTCCTGCAAAAACCAAGAGGCTCACTCACCTTGCACGGTTTTGGTGGTGATGTGTCTGCTTATGGACAGAGCACCAGAAGTGCGAAAGGGATCCACAGTGAAAATGAACGTGAGGAGAAGGAAAGTCAACCTCGCGTTCCCTAAAGCGTGCGAGTGTATAAAGTTGGCAGATCAGCCTCCTTTCGTACTCTCTCAAGAAAATCTTTGTGAAATGACTTACATGAATTTGAACTGTTCTTTGAATTGCAGATGCAGGGACATCACATTGTGGGAAGCGCTTCTGTATTCGTATTGTTCTCTTTTCTGTTTTCTTCTATAATACAACCCAGTGACATTATTAGGCTACATAGAATAGTTGTAAAGTCTCTGGTTGCTGTGTGAAATCTGAAAGTTTTTTTAGTTTGTTGATCTTTTACAGTCATCAGGAGTGGAATAGAGCAACAAAACAGCAATCTTTCTTTCAGGAAGAAGCTCAAAAGAATTTTTTCAACTGGAGCCACTTTATTATCATTCCGTATCATGTCATTTTCTTAGCTTTGCAAAAGGCACAGTGCCTAACATTTTGAAATGTTAGTATTGCTTTCCTGAAAGATTTATTTTTAAACATATGATTGTCAGGAAGATAGAATGTTTACGAGTAAAATTCATTGGGAAAACAAAAACAGTTGGAAAATGGAGCACCTTTGTATTTGTAAAGTCAAACAATTCAGGGGGGAGCGAGGTGTTTTGAAGAGAACATTGGAATTGATGGCCCTGGCATGTTGTTCTGGCAATGTCTTTAGACACCGCTGCAGCCTGACAGATTAATTGGCAGTGCGCACGAGCCTGTTGCAATCCAGGGTTCACAGATAGTTCTGACTAGATGAATGACGGACGGGGTGTTAGTAGGGTTGGGCAAAACAGTCTGGACAAGAACACAAACTGCTGCCCAAGTATCATGCTTAATTCAGCCTGACCCTTTCCCGAGGCCTGAATAAGTTTGAACTACAGGGTTGGGGTTTTTTTTTCCCCTGTAGGCTGCTTCCTAAAATATTGCCTTGCAAAAAAGAAAAAGGGCAAAGTCGCCCATGTCTCTGCACTTTGATTGCAGGCTGGAAATAGAGTAAAACAATAAATACAGTGCAAAAGAGCATGTATCATCTAAACTTCCAGACCAGCTTTGCAGTCCCGGGGACTTAGAGAGTTGAAGTATTCTTCAGATGTGCAGCCAATTTTATCATGCCTAACTAAAGCAATCTTTTCAACACTATGAAGTTTGCTCATCACTAGCTAATAAGCATGTTTTAAAAAGGACTCGGTAGAGTCTGCAACTGTAGCCCTTCCAGAACAAATATTGTTACGTGTTCTTAAATACCTGGCTCAGTAAACTGTTGTGAAGGAACTGTTTTGTGGCTTCCCTATCAACCTTCTACATTACCTATGAACTTTGCAGTTACAATGTTTAATTATTTTCCTGATCCAAATCCCGTCATCTTGCCCATACAGGACAAAACAACACTGGAGACCCTGACTCAGCAACTGGCAGTAAAACAGAGTGAAGACGGGAAGTTTAGCCACGCAATGATGGATTTCAACATGAGTGGAGATTCTGATGGTCAGTACAAATGGTTTATCCTTATTTCCAGGTTTGTGTGTATATGTCAACGGGATCTGGAGGAAAATCCAAGTGCTTTGGAGGCCTGTGAGAAGTAAGAGCGGTTAGCAATAAGCGGCTATGAAACAAGGCAGGAAAAAATGATTCATCATGTGGTGTGTTTAAGTCTGGAGGTGATTTTTAGCCTTCTCTTTTGTACACTGCACTTCTCAAGACTGGACCAAGAATGTATTTCTGATGGTAAAAGGGAATAAAGGAGGCGAATAGATGTGGGATTAATGAGATCACACAGTGAGCCCGTGAATTATAGACCTGATCATCCATATATGATGCGCGCTCTGCATCTGTAGAAACTTCCTTGGTTTGATGAAGTAAGCGTAATGTTCATTTCTTTCTCTGCTGTTGTTTATGTTGTTATGGAGAGGTAAACACAAAACCAGGCAGATGTGTAAATGTTCATTTTCTGGTTAAGAAACTTGCTTAAGAAGAAACATCTGGGGTTGCCATGTATCAAGCCCTTCCCATCACAAAAAAGGTAGAAGATATGTAACATAATATGACCAGCACTCTGTAAGCAAGAAAGGAAGAAAGTGAAAAGAAAATCTACATTGATAAGTGTTGGGTTTACGTTACTAAGTACTGAAAGATGGTTTAGAAAAGCTATTTAATCCTTTGTGTTGAAAAAAGCAATTGAAACTCTTCACCAAGTCTATATACCATGTGGTACTGAAACAATAGAATAACTAAAAACTAGACAATATATGGTATTTCCTACTGCTTCGAATGAAAAGAAGAAATGCCGTTAACATATTGTGAACGCTGACTCAGTGACTGTGCAGCACCTGACATAATTTACTGATGGCAGAGGAAGCTGCATAATGAAACACAAGCTGGGAATGTTTTTCTCTTTCTTTGTAGGAAGTGCGGGAGTTTCAGAGTCTAGAATTTATCGGGAATCCAGAGGGCGTGGTAGCAATGAGCCCCATATCAAGCGCCCCATGAATGCATTCATGGTGTGGGCTAAAGATGAACGGAGGAAGATCCTTCAAGCCTTCCCTGACATGCACAACTCCAATATCAGCAAGATACTAGGTAAGAAGGACAGAGCGCTGTTCTTTCAGTAGCAAAACTCAAAAACCTTTTGACTGAATAGAGCTGAGCACCTGACACAACAGAATTACTGTCTCTAGAATGACTGCACCAAAGACAACAGTGATACGAGCTTCCACCGTGCTGCCCGGCGGTATACATTAACCCTAACCTGAAATGTTCTTGTGTCTTTGTAATTACTGTGATTGTGGTGGTGGATTTGGTGTGAAAACACAAACTGAATAGACAAAAACAGTTTATTTCATTAGGCTGTTGAACAAGCACAAAACGACTGCTATCGTTTATTTGCCCGCACATTTCTTCTAACTAGATTCTATGGGGTAGCACACCACAGTATTTGATTTGTGCCATAGCACTTTCTGTTCAAATCAATGGCCATAGGGAAAAGATCCTAAAAAACATCCCTTTATTTTATACACTGACAGTTTTAAAGGATTTTTATTATGTCCCTGTTACATTAAATTTCCCTTTAGTATATGATCTCTATCACAAGCTGCTTTTATTCTAAATATTCTGAAAAGAATCCTGAAATCAAAAAACAAACATCAGAACTAATTTCCATATCCTCTACTCTTCACATCCCAAGCAATATTTGTCATGAACATCACCTACTGAATTTCACGCCATAGTCATCCAACTTTTCACTACTTGCTTGAATTCCCAGGACCACTTTCTGTCCTAAGTTATTCCTCTGTGACACAGTGAATGATACAGAAGGTGAATAGTGAGCATCTCTCGGGCTAATGAATTGCTCTTCAGCAGAAAAAAAAAAAAAAAAAAAAAGAAATCGGTGACCAAATCAGAGAAGTTGCATTTTTACTGTTAAAGACTGTGTTACAGGACCTAAGCATCCCTCAGGCCAGTGGGTAAAAGCTTGAGCAAGGAACGCGTTTACCTGGGCTGCAGGTCTCATTGGTTTTGCAGACAACTCGGGAGATGTAGCACAATTGTAATGGCAGCAGTAACCAGCTGCAGGGCTGGTAAATACGCTGAGTTTAGACTGGTCAGAGGTTTGAAGTTCAACTTGGTGAGAGCAGTATTATTAAAAGTTAGCAGGGGGCAAATGGAAACGAGATAAAATTGGTCGGAGGGGCAGAATGTATTGGCTGTGGATGGCAGATGTGATGATATTAACCCATGATTAAAAGGGTGGTACGAGATGATTAGATTAGTTATGGGAACAGGATTAGAAGGCTAAATTGGTTATGTTGATGGTAAAATAACCTTATACTGGTTAAAAGGGATTATACTGGTCAGAGGTGTATGATGTGATTAGGCTGAGGACAGGGCTGTAATAGTTTTGGTCTGTTTCTAAATTGAGAGTAGACCTGGTGAAACCTGTTTTTAAATAATCAGCTTCAGAAATCTACAAGATCATTCTGAATGGCCCTTTTCATATAGAAAGTACAAAGAGAGCTTGATGTTTTCCCTCTTAACTGATTGTTTTGGATAACAACCTCCGACAGCACGCTGCTAATTCATTCTGCTTAAAACAGGCGCTTGAGCTGGGCTGACATTTTACGCAGTCTCTGGGGATCCTGGTTGACATTTTAAAGGGCTTCTAAGCATTTTATAATACCCTAAAATCTGGTTTTAATAAGCCATTCTGCTGAAATTGTTAACATAAGGAATCACCTTTTACTATTTGGCGCTAGATCAGGGAGATATGGGGACATCTTTTTCTGATTAGATATACAGTAGTTGGAGTAAAATGTGCAAATTCATTACAGATCCTGTTGAGGTGACAGACAGTATAGCTGACTCCAAACTCTTTCTGTTTTGCTGCCAGATATGGGGAGAAGCAAGGTCTGAGGCAGTAAGAGATGATGTTTCTATTTCTTTCCAGCGTCGCATTTCATTCCTTTATTCCACCTATGCAATGGAGAGGGATGTCCTGACGTCTTCTTTCTTGACAGAAACGTTACAAAGGTCTTCCCTCAATTGCAAAAGGCCAGTCTTTTGAAGTCAGCAGGGAGCTCTCAGTTAACTGGCGTAGGGAGAGCAACTAGGAGCTTACAGTTCAGCCAGGTATTAGGGTCTCTTTATTAGAAAGCCACAATTTTTCCTTGCCATTTTTTTTAGCAGTGCTGCTACACATTGAGGTCAGAGAGCTCGTTGTCACGGAGAGTAGCTTAGATGGAGTTGTCACAGATCGAGGGTCATTTTTGTAGTAAAATGAGAGGAGGTGCCCTTCCCAGCACTAGAATTCTCTAGGGATTATGTTTGACACAGTGGTATTATGTTTTGAGCATAAAAATTAGATACATGGATTTGTCACTAAATTCATCTGTGCATACGTTTGTCATCCATCTGTTCATTGCAACTTAAACTTGTGGATAATGATTTTTTTTTAGTAAATTGTTAAAAAAGTGCTAAAATGGGTCTGCTGGACCCTATCAATTTAATAATGCATTGTTTAGATATTTTTGTAAATATTTTAATTAATTTCACTGAGAAATCTACATAAAGAGGTTAGGAAAAGATGGAGTTAGATACTACCTTTAGGAACGCTCTCGTGGATGTGTAAGTGTGTGAATACAAACCTATGCACATACCTATACATTATGCAAGTGCTTGTGTACGTGAGGGTATTTTTTAAACATAAACTCAGCCTGATTCAGATACTCAGACTGAAAAGCGTCAGTCTAATGGACAAGAAGTTAGGCAATATTACGAACAGTTGAAAATTCTTGTCAGAGAAACTTGGCTTAAAATCAGCGATAAGCAGAGCTCCGAACCCCACCTAGTGCATGCGCGTGTGTGCCCGAGCACCAGTGCCGGGGCATGCACGGGGACATCTCTTTTCTGCCCTGGACTTAAATAGCCGGCGTCTACAGCCATCCTCACAGTTGTCATGTAGGCACAGCTCTAACTGCCCTAGCTCACTTTGGGGGTAGGAGCCATCTTTGGTGCTGCAGAGCCTGAGAATTTTCCCATTTGGTTTCAAAATGCTTCAGCCACCAGATGCGGGAGAATTGTGCGAGAATCCCGCTTGTCGTTATGTGTGCATCCAGGGAGGGGAACAGCTTCTTCTTTTCATAGTCAAGGAGAAAAGCCTTGCATACTTGACCCACTCAAAGCTTTCTAAGACAGATGGTGAGCAGAAAGCTCACCCAAGACTGTAAAACATCCCTTAAAATGAAAGATTTTTCAAGATTCTTCAATCGCACCGTGTTTGGGCTTGGCACTGTGCATAGGTACCTGTGCCTGCCCGTGTGTGTTTATAGACACATAAAACAATGGCAGATAAAGCTATTACAAATCTATTTTGTCCAAACACAAGGTAGCTTCAACCAGTTTTAGTATGTTGATTGATGATACTCATTCATAGCTTAGCTTGTCTGTGGATGCAAACTCGAAGATCAGAGTCATATATTCTTCAAATTTACAAAATTTCAGACTAAGACCAATCAGAGAGCTGGTTGCTTTTGGTATATTCCTAAGAAGATAAGTGAAAATGATAAAATGTAAAAAACAAGGGTTTATCATCAGAAAATGTGCCCTTTTTCAAAATTTATTTTGACAACATTGTTTGTTTAATTATTTATGATACTTCAAAACATACTAGTAAATTATATTTAGTATATTTTGTAAAAACGGTAAAATCATAGTAGGAAGAGGTATCTCTGCAGAAGGCAGCTATTAAAAATTTGCTAGGAAGAGAGGTGAGACTGCCAGGATTTTTGTTGTATTGAGTTTGCAGCTTAAGAAGGAAAAACATAACGGATGACATTTATGTATAAATATTGTATGTGTAACTGTATGTACAAATATTATGCATCAAAATTTCAGGTTTTATGGCCCTGATCCTGCAAAAACTTACGTGTTTGCCTAACTTCACCAACTATTTATAGATCTTTTCACGTGAGGGGTTAGGAGTCTCCCTGCCCAGATCTGACTGTAGGATTGCAGCAAGTAAGCTAGCGCAGTGAAAAAGGAATTGTGCTGGGATGGAACATTTTCACGGCAATGTTGCAACAACTGATTTTAATTTCTACCTTTCTGTCTGTCCATCTATCTAAAATTATGTCTGAGTTCCTATATTGCAGGTAACCCTCACAGCGTGTAAAGCAAATGTTAAGATTTGTTTAAAGACTGAGGTTTTCAACTTCATTATTCATAAATAAAAACTGAGGGAGCAGCAGGAAATGGGGCCAGGGCTGTTTTGCTAAGCCGCTGGGACTACAGCAAGTCTTTGATTAGAGTACTGTAGATTTAGACTAACTTTTATGATTTTCTTCATATGCTAAAACGCCTGTGTGCCAGTGTCTACGAGGCAGAATTTGAAGGTTGGGCATCTTCCTGTACCGCTCATATGCTTTACCCTGAATTCTTAACGTTGTCCAACACAGGCCCTGTTTCCATCTTATGCAGCATTAGTAGGTGTTCAGTGTTTTGGCAGTCTTCACATGTTTATCACAGTGTCGTTTAGCCCAAAATCTAGGAGGTACTGCGTGTGGAAAGTTGGTGTCACTTTCTCTTTGCCAGAAAAAGCTTAAAATAATTTCTCCGTAGGAGACAAAGGTGCTGAGCAGGATTCTGGCCACAGAGTTTTGTTGCCCTGAGTAACACAGAGCCCTGCCTCAGATCCCTCCGCGCAGCTACTACCTCTGTATGACATACAAAGTGCTGTGTGGGAGTTTCAGTCCAAATCCTAGAAACCACCTAGTCACGCTAATATGGTGCTGTGCCTACGCTAATAACCATGTAATTAAGCTGTGTCCCGTTCCAGAACTAGCTGGAGGATCTCTGCATGTTACATGTTGTAAACATCATGAAAAAATGATGGTTTTGACTCCGAAGTAATGTTTGCTAAGAACGGGATGTCCATTGCTCCTCTTGAGAACAAAGACATCGTTATTTACAAATAAGTTATCTTTAGGTGTGAGGTCAGGCTGTACCAGCCTGTTAGCCCTTCACTCCAGAAGCCTGAACTGAAGCTTGGAATAAAGATTCAAAGAGCAGTGGGGAAAATGAAATGGTGTCAATAATCAGAAGGGACCTCAGCTTGGAATAAAGATTCAAAGAGCAATGGGGAAAATGGTGTCAATAATCAGAAGGGACCTTTCTAGAGGGAACCAAACTGTTTTCTTTCCTGGGAAGGGATAACTGGGCTCTTTATATTGCAAGTCTTAGGGGCACAGTGAGCTAAGACCAGCCTGAGTAATAGCATGAGCTAAGTACAGTATGAGTAACCATAAAAAATGAAGAACAAGAGGAAGTCAAGTATGACATATGCATTATGAACCCATTAAATTGAGAAACTATTCAAACTTTTTTCCAATGGGAAAATTGACTATTTTCCAATAAAGTTTTCCTTCTAGGCCACATGTTTCACAGCTTGGACCATTCCTGTTACTTGAAATGTATCTTACCCTGAAGCACTTCTATAGTTCATGGAAAAATAAAATAGGATGACTGATTTGAGAAATTTTACTCTCTGCTCCCATTTTATGTCCTTTAAGAAATATTGGTTTATAATTTTCAGGAGGTATTTTAAAACAATTGTAAAGTCTTCATTATTTCCCTAGCTCAAATATCCACACTAACATAGGCAGTGTCCGAAACAGGGCTGCCAGCAATGAAGCCATAATGGAGAGGTGTGCCAATATCCCAGTGCTCTTCCCTTCATGACACATACTGATTCTTTAAGTTGGAGCTGGCAGTGTTCACCGGGACTTGGTCTTGGAGTTAAAACTCCACTGAGACATATGGGATAGTTTCCAGCTTTTAGAGGCGTTGCTTCAGGGTCTTTGCAGGCTCCTGTACCCAGCAGCGTAGCATTTATGATCAGTTCATATTCTGCTTCTCACAAACCTGGAAGCTAGAAAGATACGTTATTTGTCATGAAAGACTAAGCTGTAGACATGTGCGTATCCAGAGTTTATGGCTTGATCCAGCTGTGGTGGAGCACAGCGACTAAATCTCAGCACATGGGAGTGGTGCCTCTTCCAGAAGAGAAGGTGAAAATGGGCCCGTGGCCAAAGGGAAGTTGGGGGGAATTAGCAGAGCAGACTCTGTGTATCCAAGGGCTCTTTGGCCATTCCACTTAAATACACTGCCTTGTTTTCTAAAACAGTGTCATGGATTTCTCATTGTCAGGGTGGTGGTTTTGCTTCCCACCTGAAAGTTATAATGTAGATAAGTTTCAGTAAAATATTGAGTCAAAACTTCCACTATCCTCTCTCTCTGCCCCTTGGCTGTAGCCAAGAGGTTTACCAGTCAAATACAAACAAGACCTGACCCCTGTCTAGAAGCTCTGACAGATTCCCAGCCCAAAGCGTTATGACCGTAGGTATCTTGTTCTGGGTGACCTACTTGTTTCTCTGCCTTTCAGTGTTTGTGGAAGAGTAGAATCTCATTTCTCTTTTTTTTTTTTTTTTTTCTGTGTGTGACAGGATCTCGCTGGAAAGCTATGACAAACCTAGAGAAGCAGCCATACTATGAGGAACAGGCGCGACTCAGCAAGCAGCACCTGGAGAAATACCCAGACTACAAATACAAGCCAAGGCCGAAGCGTACCTGCCTTGTAGATGGCAAAAAATTACGCATTGGCGAGTACAAGGCAATCATGCGCAACAGACGCCAGGAGATGAGGCAGTATTTTAACGTTGGGTATGGGACCTTTAAAAACTACCGCTCATTTCAGCAAAAAATTTTTTCAGGGAGAATTCTTAATTCAGTGTGGTAAATGTTGTATTTTATTGGCAAGAACATTATATATTGCTAACAGAATATGAAATTTATACTTTAAAACAATGTGTTCCAGGAGGAAGTTAGCAGTTAGGGATTTTTTTATTGGCTCTGCTATATACTCATCTTACAGCTTTGGCCAACTGTCTCATTTCCATTCTGATCAAGCAAAAAAAAAGAACCAAAAAAACCTTAAGATTTTCCAATGAAACATAAGCCTTCTAATAAAGCCTTATAAGTCTTACTTTATTATGAGGCCTCGGAGAGTATATCTGAATGAATCTATGGTAGTGCTTCCTGATCCAAAAGCCAAAAATACAAGTTTGTGTTCAGTATGATCTGTAGCAAGCGGTCTGCAAAAGGACTGCTGAAACTTACTGAACTTCAGCCGGAATACGGACTTGGCTCAGTTAATTCCTATCAGGCATGAAGTTGTCTACGTTGTTCATCGTGACAGCATTTGTCATACTCGGGAGTGTCTTCCAGTACAGTAAGCTAAATGGTCTGCGTTGAGCATAATTTTCAAGAAGACTGGTTCTGATAAACAGCTAATAGATCAGCTTGATATGATTAGATTAAAATCTGCCTAGAAAACTAGCATGTCTTTTCTTTCTGCAAAGACCCCTTGGTTTTGGTTACAGCAAATCAAAAGAATCGGAAGTAATCAAATATTCTGCAATATTTCTGTATTCACTCCAGAAAATTAAAAGCTACGCAGTGGTCTTAAAAAAAAACCAACAAAACTGGCAACAAAAACGGCCCTCAGAAATAATGGAATTTATGTTCTGTTTCATCTGAGTTTGGAATCATTTTAATATTAACTGAGTTGCACATCCCTCTAGTTAATGGCTAGAAGGAGCAATAAAGGAGAGAATATCTGTCCAGCAACTGTTAAGTGTCATCAGACTGTGTTTTAAACAGCTACAGCGCGCATTGTTATAATAAGCCGCTCAGCAGAGAAATTTGAGCTGCTTAACCCTGTGGCGCTGGCAGGTCCAGTGATCCCAACGGTAAGCACTGAAACAAACACAGGGAAGTCAGCCAACATTTGGCATCAAGAGATTAAAAAAAGAGGAGGGGGGCCTTCTGGAAAAAGAATAGGTGGCAACAGAGCCCCTAAAACACTGCTTATCTGGTTAACATGCATGCCTCATCATGGGAGAAAAAATTAACCTTGTAACATTCTGCATATTATTTAGCTTTCCAAACAAGGCTGACATTGAAATCAAGGCATTTCAGGAGATAATTTGCACCGGGGCATTAGAGCACAGAACCTGGGGTGAAATCTTTACAGGAGTTAGTGACAAAGCGGCTGATGACCGCAGAGGGGTCAGTGTTTGATGCTGGCAGTCACAGCACTACAGAGCCATTCCTGGTTTTAGTTCCCCATCTGCTGCATCACCTGGTACAGGTCATTTAGGGCGAAACTTCTAAACGCCAGTCCAGCTCCTGCCTGGGCACCAAAATATGTGATTGGGTTTACAAGAGCTGTGGCTGTGCCAGCTGCTAGGACATGCTGAAAGCCTGTCTGAAGGCATCGCACTGCGAAGGACTGGGCATTTTTTTGCAACCCTTGTACCTAATTTTTCTATGTCTCTGTGTCCTCGTCTTCAGTGGTGGTAGGGTAAACTCACCTCACTGGGCTGCTGAGAGCCCTAAAAAATTAGTATCCGAGGACTGCTTTGAGCTCCTCTGGAGTGGACATCCTATAGACGTGGAAAAATACTATTCTTAAATTATTTAATATTTGAAAAGCACTCTGAAAAGCAGCATTTAAGTGCAAAGTGTTCCTATTGTTAAATATTAAAAGCAATTTAAGTGTGCTGAATCTTGTTACAGAAATGCTGACTCCAGAAAACAAAAGCCTTCCTATTGAATTAAGAACAAAATGCAAATTAGATCCGCTCCCTACTTTAAGAGCTGTGTCTTCAGCCTGAGACAACTTCTGCTTGTTTCAGAAAGGCGGCAGTAAGGGCTGTGCGGAGGGAGGCCTCCCTCGAATGGCGGGCAGGAAGTATCCGAAAACGCAGCGAGCGATTCCAAACAAACGTAAAGCTGTTTGGCAGAGGAGAGTCTTTCAGGCTCACTGTACTGTGCAAGGCTTACTGTACAGCCGGGGCACAGGCAGGCAGGGGAACAGGGGAGGGTTTCATTCTTAATTAAGAATGTTCATCTCAAGAGACTCTGCCCTGTCTCCTGTGGCAAGGCTTTTGAGTGCAGATGGACACACCGCTGATGACATTACAATGTGCAGCATGTACTGAAGAGTATTACTGCAATGGAATTACTTCATGCAGCAAGGAAACAAAAGGAGCATGAATTTTAAACCTCTAGGCTTGTTGGGACCCTGAAGCTTCTCAGGGAAACAAACACTGGTATAACACAGCCAGTGTTCTTGATGCAAAGGGAATTTCTATGGCCTGGAATAATTCTTCTTTCATTACTGCAGACAGGTTTCCAAGGCTTAGATGCCGCATAAAGGCATCCTGTAGAGGATTTTCTCAAATGCTCATGTTGCTCGCTTGCTTTTTATTTATTTTTAAATAATGCATGCTTCCGTTTTAAGTCTGCCTTTTTCCAATTTTATCCACCTTTCCTTCAAAGGTTCTGCTTTTCACAAGTGCCGCTCGCTGTGGAAACTACCACCTTCCAGTGGGAGGCCCTTAGTGATCATCCTATAAACCCAGGTTGCCCCCAGAAAGCCCACTGTTCCTCTCCCTGATAATTGCCAGGTCTCTGAGTGAACGTGGAGTAAACATTGCCTCTTAGGAGACACCTGCCTTGCTTTCTCCCGATCCACCGGTACTTTCTTATGGCACCTCCCCATTCCTGTGCAAACTACCTAGCCCTCGCTGCGTCTCTCCTCTTGGCAATGTGTTACTTTTATGTCTAGTCCTGCCGGCAGCTTGGATTATTTAAAAGGGAGACTTCTCAAAATACATGTTTGGTTTAAGCTGGACCACAATTGAAAGGATGTTTATTTTTGGCTGGCAGCTCATGGGACACCCAGTTTACCCAGTAAAGAAGTTTGCATCGCAAGCAGGCAAGCTGCAGCTGTGTAGTTCAGGTACAGCTAGAGATGTTTACAGAGATGGGATTTTCTTATCAGTGAAGTTGGTTTGGGATTGATGTTTATTTCAGGAGTATCGGTTGGAATACTGGTATAAGGGTTGTCTTGCATGGGCCATCCGGGAGCTTCCTCTGCATGCCCAAGAGCGTATGCTGTGGGCTTGCAAAATGCTGCTGTACTACTTGCCCTCCCTTTACTCCTTCCAGTATTCAAACGTCCTTTTGCTTTTTCTCCACGGCAGGCAACAAGCACAGATTCCCATTGCCACCGCGGGCGTAGTTTACCCAGGAGCCATTGCCATGGCAGCAAAGCACCAGCAGCCCGGAGCCCGGGATGCCCGTCATCCAGAGCACTTACGGCATCAAAGGCGAGGAGCCTCATATCAAGGAAGAGATGCAGACCGATGACGTCAATGGAGAAATCTACGATGAATACGATGAGGAAGAGGATGACCCTGATGCGGACTATGGCAGTGACAGTGAAAATCACATTGCAGGGCAAGCCAACTGATCAGGGTCCAAATATCTCGTGACCTACAGGACTTCAAGGAGAAAAGAAAAAATAAATAAAGCCCCATCTGGTTTATCCTTGCCAGTGGCCAAGCACATTAACTTTCTCATACACTGACTGTTACTTTAACTGTTAGTCTTAACTAGTTGGGACATCAGCTGACTAATAGACATCAGCCTGCATCAGAAGAAAAAAGGCTCAGAAGAAAGGAAACAAAGACAACGACGACAACAACAACAGAATGATATAAGCTATGGGTAAAATAATGCCAGTAATTCAGCTGCTATACCCAAGCACTGAAGTCTTACCCGTCGACCTTTTATTATTATTATTTTTTTTTCAAATAAACTTTATGGCTGTTTGTTCTACAATGTTCTAGAAATTCTCACTCAGGTACACAGTGCCAACAAGTGGCTTGTGAATGTGTTTTGTTGTTTTGTGCTACAGTTTAAAGAGAAATAATTTTTTTTTTTTTTGGTAATGCACCTGACAGGAAAGAAAAAAGATAAAATTCCTTTGACCCCCTCTGTCTCCTCCATCTCCTCCTCCTCCCTGGCAAATCTGGGTCAGAAGTGTGTGTGTGTGTGCGTGCGTGCCTGTGCGCGTGGCTGGCAAGGAAGGAAGTGGGGAGTCTGTTTCTGTTAACCCCAACAAGCAATTATTTCCTTTCAAGAGAGGACTTCTCTTCATCAGTTGCACACCATACTGAGTCTTTGAGCAAGTGCCAAATTTGTACTAAAAGCGCTGAACTAGTCCAATTCGCTTTTTTTTTGGTTGGTCTCTTCTTCTTGTTTTGTTTTTCTTTCGCTTTTCTTTTGCTTCCTGCTCTGTCTTAAGTTAGGACAATGTTGTATCTTAGACAATCCCTTGAAGAACCTGATATACCAGCAGCTGGTGAGATTAGACATATATTTTTGGGTTTGGTTTTGATTTTTAAAGGAAACTGTAGGTGCCGTTCTCAGGTGAAAAAAGAGAGAGAGAGAGAGAGACATAAGAAATTTAGAGAAAAAATATTTTATGATCTTGGATTTTCATGTGTGCGTGTTTATGGTACTAATAAGAATAATATTGGACTATTGTGAGCAAAAAGCATGTTCCAGAATGAAGTCCCGCACCCTCCAAATGACTTGGTCTGTAAGGAGCCTTTGCTTTTAATTTACACTTCAAGTGGCAGCTTAAACAACATGAAAAAGGATTGTCCAAAATGTGATTTGTTCAGCACAGGACAGGGCAACTGGCAATGTTACCTCCTCGCTGAGCGTAATTAGGTTACCGCGATGTCCAGTTTTAATGAGCTTGTACCTTCAGGGTGGCTGAGTACTGATCTCTGATCCAAAAGGCAATTTTCTTTAAACTGACTTTTTTTTTCTCCTTTGCACTTGCAGAAACCCATTTTTATCAGTGGGATGCTTGTGTAGGCAGGAAGACTAATATCTATGAAGAGATTTCCATATTCAAGAATCCGAACCTTTGCGGTGCTGAGTTTCCCTAGCTGCTGCCTCTCACAAGTGGAAAATTGTTCTCCTGGGCTGTAATATTTTCGGTATTGTTCTGGAGGCCTTAGGTATGTTGCTTGGGCAGTTTTGCCTTCCTAGGGTAACAGCAACCAGGTGGGGAAGGTGGATTTACACAAGTCTAATCCTGAGCAGAAGTTAGCCTCTTGTATTTCCAGTGAGGTGACCGAAGGGCACCCTTTATTTCAGAAAAAAGAATGTAAATACAAGTGAACCTAAGAGTCTCTTTTCGTCTCCTCGCTCTGACCTTCCCATAGAAGGAGGGGATTCAGGTTGGTGTAGCAAGACAGAAGCATTAGATCCAAACCAACAGACGAACCAAAAAGGCTACCTCTGATTTCAAACAGCAGCTATCCAGGAGCTCCTCTCTGGCCTGGGAAGCAAAGTCTTAGCGTCGTACTGAGGCAAAAGCCTTCCTCTGGGTCAGTTTTCTAAGTGAGGATGCCACCGTTGTGTTCATGTTGCTCCCTGGTAAATGCCGACTCCTAGAAAGAGACTCATCACCATCGTTACCACTTTTGACTTATAAAAATAGCCCTGTGCATCTTGGTGCCAGTGAGATCCCAGCCCAAGCGTTCACCAGAACCGTGGTCTTCAGTACGTGGCAACCTTGATTTTGCAAATGGTCCCTCTGTCCGGCAAATTTAGCCCTTGGTGCATTCAGCCATTTAAGTCCAGGTGCAGGATGAAAGGGGCAGGTTGGGGTTGAGACTGGGAAGGAGCACGTGGGAGGTCTGTCTTTGCCTCTTGAAATCCCACTTGAAGTGTAACTTGACCTCTGCAGACCTCGTGCAAAGCAAACAAGCAAATACCATTGAAGACTTAGGACAATACTCCAACGAGCGGTTTGGACGTGTGATAGTTTTACCCTGCAACATCTGTTTTATTTTTCTCCTGTTTTCCCTTTTTTCGTTTTCCACCTCTGCCTCGAAAAATTCTTTTCTATTTTCTCTCTCTCAAAAGATTTGCTCTGAAGTTATGCTTGGAGTAGCTGATCATATCCTCCATGTCAGAGAGGGTTCTTTTTGTTTGTATTTTATGACTGTGTTGGGTTTTTTGTTTTGGTTTTGTTTTTTTTTTTTTTTTTTCAGTTGAACTGCCTCTTCTTGCTAGTGTTGTAATGGTAATTATAATAATAATAATAATAATGGTCAGCTGTTCCCAGATTAGTAAATTATGTATAATTTATTTTATCCCCCCCCCCCCTTAACTTTATTTTATTCTGTTCTAATTTGGCAGTGCAGCAAATGAAGCTGTTAGGCTATTTAAAATGGATACCCCTCCCCACCTTGCCTTTTTATATATATATAAATATATATATATACATATGAAAACAAATCGCTTCTTCTTCTGCTCACACCATTCCTCTTTCTTTTATTTTAATTTTGGCCCCAGCCATGTCAACTTCTGATGTTTATTATGATGGAGTGAATTAATGGGAGTGTTGTTTTCAATCTTAATTAACTTCTGCTCTCTCATCACTCATTTTAGTTATTTAATTACACCAGTCATCTAGAGCCAATTTTTTTGAAGCACTCTGTTTGGATAAGAAGGAAAAAAAAATAGACAATTGTTTTTATATCATTATTATGTACAATGTGAAAACAGATATTTGCTCCTTTTTTTTTTTTTTTAAACTTTTAAATTTGTTCCCTGTCTTTGTGAACAAATTACTTCTGACTCTTGTGGGTTCACCTCACATTTGCTGGATGCTTGATTTCCACCACGTTATAGAGACTCTCTGGTTTAATTGTGTCACTTTGGGCTACCAGAATACTTTGTTTTAGCTCCAGGTAGGTGCCGCTGCGGCAGGTGTGATTGGAGCAAGTCTTGGACGCGTGGGCTGGAAAGCCGGCCTCGGGGAAGTCAACGGGGGATAAAAAAGCCCTTTGACTTCAGCGGGACCGAATTTCAGCCCCGAAACTAGGGGCTGCGCCGCAGGAGACGCTCCTGGAGGCAGCCCCCTCTCTGTGGGCAGGCTGGGTCTCGCGCCGGAGGAGCGCCTGTGCCGGGGCTGCGGGACCGAGCTCTGCCCTCGGCAATGGACGGGGCGACAGAGCCCTTCTGCGGGAGTGCCCTGCTTTGCTCGCTGCCTCAGCCTGGGCTGGGGCTCAGATGAACGCTCATTTTGTTACCGTACACATTTCTGTCTGAGAGACTGGGCTAGAGCCTGGGGTTCGGTCAGGCTTTTCGAATGGGTAGCTTAAGCAGACTATCCACATCCTGAATTTGGATGTTGAAAGCGATGCAGCAATGTTAAAAAAAAAAAAAGCCAAAAAAAAAAAAAAGGCTCTGGGGTCCCAAACCAGCAAAATACTTAACGCCTGTGCTAGTGTTTTGTTGGGTCCAAGGAAGAGCGCCCAGATATCCTTCGGCAGTAGAAGATCAGATTTGAAAACGTGGCCCTGTTTGTCCCTCTTTAATTTCTTAGAAACAAAACAAAACAAAACATACATTTATAAAAAGATCTTACTGTCTTGTTTCTTTTTTTTTTTTTCCTGGGTCCTGTGCCCTGGAGCATGTAGAAAAAACAGGTTAGAAGAGATTAGGATCGTATTAACCTAAAAGCGCATCGAGGCTCTAATGCCGAGGCAGGCTTCATTCCCCTCTTCCCTGGGAACCTGGTGAGCGAGGATGATCTTGGGGAGCTGCTGGGGAGGGTGTACAGACCACTTCCTCCTAAATCTGGGGAGCCGCTTACGCCGTGCATCTCGCGAGCTTACAAAGGAACAACATCAGCAGTGGGGAAAAGGGGAAAAGAAAGGAGAAAAAAAAGTGAGGCACTTGCTTCTAAGCTCAATTAAATAACACAGAGTATATCCTTTTTCAATTTATTCATGCCTTATATTAGTAAAATAGGATTTTTAAGTGCATTTAACATCTTTATTTAACCGTTCCGCTATATTAATCAGGCCCCCAGAAAAGAACACTAGCTATTATTATAGCATTTAATTAGTTTTGTAACCAAATCCTCTTATTACGAATGCATATGGAAGAAATTCTTTCTTCGAAGACATTATTTCAAAGATTTGGTTACTGCAGTAGACTCTCTCTTTAATTAAATCATTTTTTAGAAAGTAAATTGTCTTTAACCTTTTTACAGCACATTTTCAGAGCTTTTTCTTTTTAATCCAAAGAGATGAGCTGTTATTGTCCCCGAAGAAGCCTCTGACATCACGTTCGTAACATCAAAAATAATTATACTCCGTGGAAACGTAGACCTTACTTAGCAAGAATTCATCTGCTAGAATGAATGGCAACTATATGATATCTCGTACGTTTAAGGGCATGTTGTATCGGATAGGAAGTATTTTTGTCTGCCCACTTCTCGATAGAATCATACCTTCAATTTTGCAAAGAACTGTGTGTAATTCACTAGATGTGGATTCAAGTGTATCCTCAATTCACAGGGCATGGGCTGGCTGTTTAGCTTGGTTTATATTTACATTTTTTCAACTTTATCTTAACTTGTCAGTTTCCCAGATTGAAGAACATGTCAAGTTCGTTTTTTCTACTGACTGATTTCTCTACTCCCCAGTGTTTTTGTCACTGGTTTGCTGAAACAGTATTTATATAGCTCCATTGGCTCTAAAGCTCTTACTCCTTCTAACGTTTTGGATTTTACAAGTGAAATGAAAATAGAAAAGAAATAGAGACAATCAAATGCCTGGAGCTTAAAACAAAGTATGTGCAACCTACCATCTCACTTGAAATTTAATAAAAGAAATAATTATGTAAATATAACATAGAGTTATAGATTTATATTTTGTTCATAACACATAGTGTAATATAAGTTGTATATTTTCATGTTTTGGTTTTATGTTATCATTCATGCCACAATAAATAAAAAAAAACAGGAGTTGATGTACTCTTTAAAAAAAATACAATGTGGGTTGCCACCATCCTGGGTTTTTGTTTTTGGTTTTCGGTTTTTTGTTTCTTTTGCATTCCCCTTTTTCAGTATTATTGCCCTGCAAGGCACCAATAAAACAGCAAATGTGTTCTTTACCTATCCTGTGGTCTGTTTCCCACTTATTACAGCGCAGGGTGCACTAGTTAATTTTCTTGTCAGGAGAACAAAACGGCTGGGCTTGAGGAGCAGAAAATGAGATTTAGCATCGGCTTACCTGTCTGCTCCGAAAGTCAAGGTTTTCATCAAATCACAGGAAAAAGATTTACCCCATCTTTAAAATATCAGCGTTAAAACTGAAGAAAAACTCGGTTCCTGAACAATGTAGTACAGTGCAATTGCCAGTTCAGAGTTGGAGCCCTCAAAAATGGGGATGGCTGAACCAGAGGTTTGCCCT